CAGTAATTAACAACCACTGATTAACAACCCTAATATTGTTTATATAAAAATCTGATGTGTCCAACACATGACTTTACTGTCTAGTTATTACAGACTTTTTCAGGTTATTTTGTACAACCTGTTGTATCACCCCTGTAAATGTTTAGAGAATGAACTAAATACATAAATTTTTCACACATATCAATCAAATTTTTCCATTACGGTCCATTTTGGAGAAATCATAGAGAATGATACAAATTTTTATTTGAAAAATTTTAGGAAAATTATGTATGTGACAAAAATTATAGAGAATAACATTACAAGCAAGCAACTTTTATTTGAAGAATTTTCGTCTCCAAGCCTAAATAACAAATATATTCCATAAAATATAAATACGACCCCTTATAAAGTACCCTCCCCCAGATGTTCTGACTGTGCCCAAAATCTAATCAGCTCAACGCAGGCCAGAATAAAGCTATCTTCTACACCCACATGGATATTAGCTTATCTACGCATAAATTACAAAACGAAAAAGTATGCTATTGCCTTCAACTGAACGAATATATTTCATATCGATTATAGGTAGTGAGAATACTGCAAAAAAATGAAATCCACCAATCACCGTTTATATTTTGATCAACCGACTGCTATTATTTTTAAAATTTTAAATAAGTGACAATTCTGTCAAACTAATTGTCAGTATATTTTTTAGTTTTTGAGATTAAACATACATTAAAATGGGTTATTCTTGTGTAGAGTCGATAAATAATAGCATTTCTGTTTTTATTTCGTCTATAATTATAAATAATTTATTAATGTAAATAAAACTATATGAAGTCAATTTAATTACGAGTATTAAAGCAACAAAAATAAAAGAATAGATGGTCCTGTGGTAAGCGTTCTTGCCTTCCACAGGAAGACTCGAGTTCGATTCTCGGATAGGGAAAAATGAAATGAACTTTTATTTTAATTTAAAAATTATTAAAAGTCATAAATTATTTTAAAATTAGTTATTTTGTCTACAGCGCCGTGCTCAAATTTTGTCTTCGTGCGATATGGCCATCATATCCACTCTTGTTGCACAAACTACTATAGTTTAAACTTTGGTGTTTTTCTCTGTATCCGTTCATGAGTTATCGAGTATACAGACACATACACACAGACGTCATCGCGAAAAGAGTCAAAACGGATTCAGGGGATCCCAAAACGTAAAAATCCGTTAAAAACTCGAGATTGAAAATCTTATGATTACTATACTTTCCTTTTTTGTATACAGGAAAGTAAAAAAACAGGTAAATAAAATAAAACCTTTTTATAAAACGATAAAAAAGTGAATAAAAAACAAAAAATAATGCAAAACAAATAAAATTGCACCCCATGAAAGGGTTCTGGTCCTCAAATCCTCCCTCCCTCCTCTCGTGCGTATACCAGTGGCACCTAGATGTGATGTCTCTGTGTGTGCAAATGAGCATTTTATAAAAAATAAACAGAATTAGAAAACATTAAAATAATAAATTCCCATAAAATTATAACTTTAGACTCTTCTAAATCAAATACAAACTGTTTTGTTTAAAGCTTACTTTTGATACATTTTTTGTTTACTTATTTATTATCATTAAAGAATGGGCCAAACTTCAGATGTGGTTAGTTTGGACAAAAATAAGTTCATTTAAGCCAATTTACCTTAGTAGAATTTTGTTTGCTTAAGAAGTTACAGGGTGGAGCAGATAATCTTTTTTTCAATATTTTTACGATAATTCAAATATTTTTTGAGTAAATATACCCAATTTTTGTGAAAGTAAGTTTTTTTGGGTGATACAAACGAATACCAGCTTTTTTTGTTGCATTACATGTACAGGGCGTTCTAAACTGGCGTGCCAATCTAGTATTTACTTCAGATTTTTTTTTAAGAATTGACATTTTTGAAAAATGATTATTTTAAAAAAGTGTTCAATTTTCTTTAAGAAAGGTATACTTGTTGCATGTCGCTAAAATGCATCATTTGAAGGAAAACTTAATTTAAAGTTAGTACTGCAAATGTATGGATTACTAGGCAGTTGTCGAATGTAGTAGCACTGTCAGGATTAGTCTTATGGCGGTTTTCCACTAAACGGACAGTTGAGTTTATGTTTTGTTTGTATTTTCTGGAAATTGAAAAACAAAAAAAAAAGTAAAACAAACCCAAAACTCTTGTTTCCATCAAGCGGACTACATTTTGTTCCAGTTTTGTTTTTGTTTTCGATCTTTTTCCACTGGTAACTAGGTAACTAGGTAACTAGGTACTTGAAAATTTTTTGTGATTTTTTAATATTAATTTCTCAATAAGTTCCACGGTTTACTATATATATTTTATTGTATAAAACAAAATCTAAATATTTCAAAAACCTTATTTTTAGTTTTTTTCTACTCCATCTAATCAATAAATAATAGTATAATTCGAGAATTGTTGTTGAGGACTTACTTTCTCGTGAGGCACTGTAAAAATACTCACATTTTAAAAAAAAAATTCTCAAAAATTTGCAAGTTAAGGTATAGTTAAAAGTTCAGTATTAGATAAATAAGGACTTCAACTATTAGAAAAAAATTAATTTTAGTCATAATCTAATAACTTTTTTTTTAACATTTGAGGCGAGAGGTGTGGCGAAAGGACCTCCTTAAATGAAAATTATGGTTATTTCGATAAATTAAACTAGTTTTTCATAAAAAAAACTCTTTATCAACAGTCATAAATAATATGTGTGAATACAAAAAACTCAAAAACAAACAAAACAATAAAAACATAATTATTAAAATTGTTCAAAGTGATCTCCCATAACATCAATACAGTTTTGTAATCGAATTTCGAAAGACTGACTTACATTTCTGAGCATTTGAACATCAATACTTTGCAGGCACATTATATACTTTGTTTTTTACATAACCACACAGAAAAAAATCAATTTTTGTCAAATCCGGTGCTCGCACTGGCCACCCTATCGGTCCTCCTCTTCCGATCCACCGTCTTGGAAAGTGATTATTTAAATAATTATGAATTACTACAGTGTGATGGACTGGTGCACCATCGTGCAAAAACCACATTTGTTGGCGAATGTGAAGGGGAACATCTTCAAGTAACGTAGGCAAATGATTTTCAAGGAATTCCAAATATACTGCACTATTTACTCGTCCTTCAAAAAAGTGTGGCCCTATCACATAATCACCCACAATGCCACCCCAAACATTTAATAACCACCTCATTTGGCTATGAGTGACTATAATGTGTGGTTTGTTGTAGAATAGGTAATAGTGAAAATTATGCCTATTTAAACCCCTTTAAGTCGATTCATCACCAAAGAGCACAAAATCAAAAAAAATTCTTTGTTGATTAATTTTTTGTTGGGACTATTCAAAAAATATCACTCTATTTTCAAAATCCCGTTCAAGAAGTTCTTGATGTAACTGGATATGGAAAGGATGTATTTTATGTTTTGATAGGATTCTTTGAACAGTTCCGTAACTGACTTGTTGTTGTCTTGAAATATTTCGTTTACTAATATGCGGATCATCATAAATACTCAACAATACTTTTATTTCATTCTCTTCCGTGATAGCAGTTTTTGTTACTTGTTTTTGCTCGTATGATACAGTACCAGTACGATTAAAACGATCCATTAGTTTTTTCAAAAGCCTTTTTATTTTGTTTCCGGCGTTCCGGATATCGTTGGTGGTCTGGAGGCATGTAAAGATTTCTTGTTGCACTCATCTAGTATATAAATCATATCCACCATTTCTGGGATAGAAAAATTCGTATTGTTCATCTTATTATTAGTAATTTACTTAAAACATTAACACACAGGCAGTTGCTCTTGATTTTTAAAATGTTAAAATTGTCAACTGGGCGGTAACAGGTATATTAAATGCATTGGCGACTAGATAAAAAATAAAACATATTATTTATTATTGTTTATAAAGAGTATTTTATGAAAAACTAGTTTAATTTAACGAAATAACCATAATTTTCATTTATTGTTAAAAAATAGCGATAAATATTAACTTTAGGTATAGGGAATGCTTTATAAAAATGAAAGACTTGGAACAGATGATTTTACTGGTGATATAAAATATAGGGTGTCCCATTTAAATAAAACAAGAAAATCTAGGGTCTGAGTATTGAGTCTCCCTGTATACAAATAAACAGATAATAAAAATATAACTAAAAAAGTATAATACATCATGTTATAAAATTCGTGTGGTTAAAAAAACATTTTTTTCTAGTTGGTAATTGGCTGCTGGACGTTGAATTATGTACGATTCTCTCACAAAAATGTCAATTCCTTGAAAAGTACCCTATATGACAGACAAACGAAATATTAGAAGAATGGAAAAAAGATGAGTAAACAGAATCTAAAATAAAATACTGGGGTTATCATTGAAAAAAACATATGTTTGGTTCGTACACGACACCCTGTATACCTCCAAATAATTTTAAAATGTTAATCTCAAACCTGTCCATAATTTTCTTAATACACTTTTTTAATATCTCTTTCAACAAGGAAGATATCGAACTTTTCCACAAGATTGGTCCATCCTGTATGTTGAGAAAAGAAGTAACGGAAAAAGGACAAGCAGCATATGGGGGATAGAGTTAGTAGTCATATGTGAGGGTAAATAAAATTTAAATTATGCAACATACAGAGAAAGTCGAGGAGAAAAATAATCCCGCTTAAGGGATGATGATTGTTGTATTCAATTAATTATCCATATCATCCTCACAGATAATTTATATCGAAACGCTATAGTTTTAGGAATCTTATGATTCACGATATTATTTTACTTCAAGGATCCGCAAACTATTTCCCAAAATGCTCTTTTGCAATTGTAAATCCCTCTCAGTTCGCTAAAAATGCGTTTAATATATAAAGAGATAGCGCCATAACAACCTCCAGTATTAAGATATTCTTGCACTCTTGCATTTTATAGAAAGTGACAACTTGAGACGCTATTGTCCGTGGTGGGAACCTATAAAACCGTTTTACAGTGTGAAAGACTTCTTCAGATTACAGTGTGATCAGTGTAGGAGTTTTGAGTGCGAAAAAAAGGTTTGTAGATTAGACGCTCGATCATAAAGGGTTAATTATTAAGTTTAATTGTCAAGCCATTTTTAAATTATAATAGGACAGTATTTAATTATATAGATTTGTTGTTTTATTTTTGATAAAATCTAAATATTATAATTTTTGAATGATACTTAGATTTACTATAACAAATATTTGATTTTAAAAATTTACTTAAATTATATTAGAAAGACTACATAGTAGAAATTAAAATAATATATTTTTTGAATGACTTTTGTTGCAATTATTTTAGATTTTTTCAAAAGTGTACCTAATAATATTGGAAATAGAGTTTTAGAAATTAAGACAGTAATATAATGTTTGAGTAATTAATTAAATATTTATATTTTTATTTTTTTTTTCGCTTATATTTAATGTAATTTTAGTAGATCGGAATACAGGGTGTTGCACATAAAACGACTTAGGAACTAAAAGTTTTTTTTATAAAATTTGTTCGTTCTTTTATCTTGTGCCAACATTTCTAAATTCTAAACCGTAACATTAATGAAAAAGTTAACTATTTTGGGTAACTTTACAGTAGTCAAAAAAAAAATCGTGGTATGTTATTAAGTGAATTATTTTAAGAAAAAAGGTTATATAGTGATTTTTCTTAAAATCTTTCTAAATTAGAAAAAATTGGGATTTTTATATAAAAATTGGAAATTTTTAAAATTGATAATTATACTATATAAAAAAATTACTTTTGTAAAAAATTATTTAGCGAACCCGTAGGGGTCGCTTTAAAAATTTAATAATTTTATAGAGTGACCTTGTAGGAGTCGCTTTATAAAATTTAATAATTTTGCAGAGATTACATTAATATATACAGTGAAAATAAAATAAATGCCACATTTTGTTTTTGCGAAAAAAAAACTTTATAAAAAAATTGGGGAAGGATATGGTATTTTACATCAAGAGTGTGGAAAGTGACATTTTTCACACGAGTGGGAAATATTATCGGACAAGGCATAAGGCGAGTGCAAAAATCACACGAGTGTAAAAAATCACTTTTACACAAGTGATGTACAATATTTTTCCTACGACCATAAAATAATTTTATCAAAAAAAAAATGTAAAACCAATAAATTTGGCTATGGAGGTTTAATTAGGATGTGGCTGGTTCTAGATTTTATATGCCTTATGGTTCTAGTTTTTATATGCCTTATTGAATCATTTTTAAGGTGCTTTACGGATGATGTGTCGTAGAAATTAAAAACATTGTGATTCAACTTACAAACAAAAGTAAAATATCATTTTTTGATAAAAAATATTAGATTACAATAATATTTTTCATTAGTTTATGGAAATTTTGGATACACGCTAATATGTTCAAAAAATATCTCATTAAGATATTAACAAACTGTAAAAATTTCAATGAAATAACTTAAAACGTGTTTAACATTTTGATTAAAAATATTTTTAACGCCCTGTATCTTGCAAACGAAGCGTTTTCGGACATATATTTAGTAAGAAAGAACTGTTTAGAAAAAGAAAGAGAATATCAATTTAAGATTCGAAAATTAAAGAATGCATTTAGAAATGTGTAAATGAAAACGCCAATTCCCCCTACGAAATCCATACTTACTTCCATAGGAATCCATACTTACAACCCAAAAAAAAATTAATGGCATGCCCGAAAATATTTATATTGATGTACACTGCCACCACTAAGTTTGTTTACAGGACACCCTGTATATAGGCAACCTGTTACATGCATACAGGGCGGTCCTCCGAAAAATATACATCTACCTTTTCCTATTGATACAAAAAACAAAAAATTGATTTTAGTTTAGAAGAGTACACTTTTTTATAATTGCTGTACATAGTCTGAATAAAAGAGGAGTGCAGTAAAAGTGAGGATATAACGTCACATTCCATAGGCGTACTTTGAAAAATAAGTTTCAGTAATATAAATAACGTCAAGGAATATAAAATTTTGAATAAAAAAAGTTATATTATTTACAAAAAATAAAAATAAACCTTGTGCTTCTGACAAAAATGTTACACTTTAACATTGAACGAATTAAATGTAACCAATAAATAACAAGAAGGATTATCTATTGTTAATGGGATTACACTTTTTTTAATCTCTTGGCATTAAAAGTAACAATTCAGTGTCTAAAATCAAAGATTAAAAACAATAAAAAGTTCAAGAACTATCTTCAAAAGTTACTGTCTTCACTATAATTACTGGGATCATTCACATTCCCTGTAATATTTTTTTGCAGATGACAACATGATATATTTAGAAGAGTAGGGATAGTTTCTATTTCTGAGTGTAGGAATTTCATTTCGAAAGAAAAATAGTGTACCATTTGCCTTATTACATTCTTACCCAATTTTCAATAAAGGTCTTGTTTCTTCCTGGGGGCTTTTTCGGATGTGAGACTTCTCCAATAACTGTGTATCTTCTTCAAACTATAGATTCATAATTACACACGGGTGGAAAGTAGATTTTTCCACACGCGTGTGATATAGGGCACTTCGCATAAGACTATATAGTGCGATAGGTATCACTTTCCTTATTGGTCGTAGGAAAAATAGCTTTGTTATGAAACCAAACAATGCTTTCCAAAAATATTTTATCTAGTGAGCACTTATTGGACAATTTCTCTTCATTTTCTAGCTACTACCTCTTTGGGGTCATCCTCAACATCCAAATTCCAGTTTTTTTACTTTAATCCTCAAAATATACCACAACCATCTGCCCTTTTTGGCTTGGATGGTCCAGAATAATTTTGGTTTACTCTAAACATTATCATATTCTTTTCACACAAATCTTTGACATTATTTCTTCCAAATATTTCTCTTAACTTTGCTCTTTCCCATGATCCAATGTTTCCTCCAATCTTTTAATCACCGACTTGAATGCTCTAAATTTTTATCATCTTGATGGTGTTCTGTATATCATCCTGTCATGAGTGTTCTAATGTAATGACATTTTTTAATTCGGAATTTAATTGAGTGAATTCAGTTTCCCTGTTTTTATGAATAGTAGTTCCCAGGCATACAACACTTTCTAATCTTTCTATATTATTATTACCATTCTTTACATTTTTTGTTCCTTCCCCTTTTTTGTTGAATTCCTAAAGTCACCAACATTGTTTTGCTATAATTTATCTCCAACCCCACAATACCCTGTCATTAAAAATAATTAATTTGAAACAAGCCAGCTACAAATCCTGTAACCTTCCAACGAATTTTTACCATTTTCCCAATTAAGTAATTTATTTCAAAGTCTACTCGTTTTAGCAATTTAAGTATACAATAGTGGGAAAGGAAACATTTAACAAAACATTCAGTGAAAGCGAGAACTGTGAGATAAACCTACAATTAAGGATTTTTTTTACGATCGCTTTACTTAAAAATCGAATTGATACGTAATAATTCAATTACAGTATTTTTCTTTACGCTGTAGATTGTAAAATAGAATCACTTTCCCTTCATAGGACACGGTCATGGCCGCAAAAGGTTCATTAACATTGGAAAGAAGTCCGATATGGTTTTAGCTCATCACAGTTGGTCATTTTACCAGAGATAATGATGTGAAATCACGGTCACACTACATTAAAACAATGTACAGCGTGTTTTTTTTTATCATGATTACTATATTGGAAATCCTAAAAGATAAAGGGGTGTATTAAAAGCGAAAAACGTTTGTTATATTATGAAATTTTATGAGAGCAAAGTAGTTTTCAAAAAAAGAATCAGTTGATGTAGGAAATAAGGTCTAAAAGGATTTTTACTTAGGTGCTGATGATGAAGTGAAATAACTGATTTAGAAAGATACCTTCAGTTTTTTTTTACTGATTATGCAGACATTACTATTCAATATAGTTGCTCAAAAAAAAAAAAAAAAACACACAACCAGCTACAGTCCTAAACATTGCTAACTCAGAAGAAAATATACTGCTTTAATGTAAAACTATATTTTCTAAGCACTTTTTGATTCAAAAATCAAGTACATTGTGTGACATGTAATTTCATTTCCTTATCTGATACAAAGGATTTTAATTCTCTTGTCTGATAACACAACGTATACTCATTCCCTAATTATTTAAATAAAATCATGTATGTCAAACATTTGAATAACTACTTAATTACCTAGAAGAGAGCCGTGTCATTTTACTTTTTAAATTATATAAAGTATTAAAAAATGAGTAGCAGTGTGTTATAGCAAAGGAAAAGTGTTGTAGGAAATGAGTATCACACGTGTAGATAAGAATCTAGTTTGTGTAGAATATGTCTAATTATATTTGGACGTAAGAGCGATAAAGAAAGTAATTGGTTTAACCACGTCCTTTCGATGGCAAGCATGGGATATTGCACTCGGCGACGTATTATTCGATTTCTCCCTATTCAATAACATAGTGTTTCTATTCCTTTTTCTGGAGTAAGGATTAAAAAATTAACATAATGTATATATGTATAGTCTAAAGAAGAAAGAAGTGCAGTAAGTTTATTTTCAGAACGTAGTAAAGGTGCAAGAGGTAGACATTTTATTTATAACCTCATCCTTCAATGCTTATATGTAGTTTAAATTAAAATTTTAAAACATCTGATTGGCCTAATAAAAGTTTTCGTTTAGATTTAATTAGGTTTCCATGGTTTTTACTGTAATAAACCTTTTCTTTTGACCAATAAGTCAAACTTTATTTTAATTGATTAGGAATTGTATATATTATAATTTTACACTCGTAAAGGGGTGAATTAGGGAGAGTATTATTATTATTGTTATTATTATTATTATTACTATTATAATAAAAGAGGAGTGCAGTGAAAATGGGGATATGTCACATTTTATAGGCGTATATACAATAAGTTCTAAAATATATATATAAAATGGTATATAAGCACTCCATAGGTTAAATTTTGAATGAAAAAAGTTATAAAATAAACCTTATGCTTCTGAAAAAATTGTTGCACTTTAACATTGAACGAATTAAATTTAACCAATAGTAACAAGGAGGATTATATGTTATTAATGGGATTAAACTCTTGACATTAAAAGTAACACTTGAGCACCTAAAATCAAAGATTAAAAACTATAATTACTGGTATTATTATTATTGTCTTATCTGAGGTTAATTATTATAGGGTCTATTAAGTTTTTCATTGCTATATCCACTTTCCAAAATGAATTTTCCACCTTTTTAACATGATCAATGCATCTTCTCCAATGTTCTCCATTTACATCTGAAACTGCCTTCAAAAACAAATTTTACACATCAGGTAATTTAAATGTATTGTTTCGCAGTGTTGCCAATACCCAAACTTGAAATTATACGATGGCTGGGTACAAAAGATACGCTTTTTATACACCTTTGTAGATTTAGCTTTGCAGCCACATCTTTGCATTTGAGGATATCAAATTTGAGTTGCTGCCAGGTTCGGCTTTAGGTTTGTGAGATGAGGCACTGCCGACAGAATAAATGTAGTAATGCAGATTCGTTCAGACAGACTGCCAAAAGCCAAAAGTTCCAAAGCAAAGTGCATTTCAACAATACGAACAATATATCGGTTCGGTGAATTCCCGGCTCTCTGCCTGTTTTCATTGGTCAATGACATGGAGTGTGGCTTTCTCTAAAATAAGCCACTGTTTAATAAAAGTAGAGCAGACTACAACTAAGTTGTCCAAATAAACTTAGAAGTGTCTAAACTTATTTCTAAAATAAATGGAAATCCAAGAATATCCATAGTTTTTCCCAGAATGTACGGATATTATATGGAATTTCAAAGAGATAGAAAAAGATACGCTGGCAAGTCAGAATATACGAAAATCGTATAATTATACGCAAATCGACAACAGTGTTGTTTCGAGAAGTCATTTTTAAATATCTTTTTTTCCATCTTGTTGTAGGTGAGTGACTCCTTTAATCATGGTTTAATCGACTGTGATAGGATGCATTATCCAAAACAATAACGGAATTGGATGGAATTTTTTTTATAATGTTTTGAAACCAATTTTGCACAAACTACTGCTCATTAACTCGAATACTTTGATGTGCCTACATTTAAATATGACTTGTTTCATAAACTACTGATCTACTCTAGTCTAGTCCTTTTTAAAATTCACTAAAATGTTTAGAACCTAACACTTGGCCATCTAGTCACATTAACTACAAAATTATTTATTTCTGATTACACAGACCTAGGAAAATATTATTTTTTTAATTTTTATATAATAGAGATACATTTTTAGAGGGACGACTTTTTAACAGACTTCATTTGAATATTTTTTTTTATGTACTTGTATGTTCAGTGATAATTCTTTACCACTTTGTTAGAAAGGGGGTAGGTACCTCAGGGGTGGCCCCATATAAATTTGGTCAATATCTGATGATGGCATCAAACTGAATTTGTAATGCAATCTGCATGATTTTGAAGTCGATTTTTTAGAATTACTTTTATAACTTGTTAAATAATGTTTTTGCATATTTTTAAACTTCAATAGATTGAGTCACAGTCGGTACGATGACTTCACGGCTATTATGCAAAGTGAAAATAAAGCACCATTTGACCGTTTGTGGTCGAGTAGGCGCCAAGCCATTGTAAACCAGTAAAATAGGTCACTACTTTTACTTTCTACTATATACACAAACCTACACGTGCTTTCTTCTGACGCTTTTAATTTTTTTGGCAAATTTAATCACTTTGATGACTTAAATTCGCAATAAATTTTAACGAATTTACATAATATACGCATTTTTAGTTATGAGGTAATAGAGAAATTAATAGATAATGGATAGACGTGAGTGAAATAAACGTTTATGATTCCTAAGTGAATTTAATTGATGCTATAATGAACTATTACAAAAAACACATTCTCACGTAAAAAAATAAATATTATTTCAGATATGAGACTACCGTTCTACCTAGCAGCAATAATTTTGCTGCACCGAGCAAGCTCAGAGGAACAATCATGGTCCTGGGGTTCAGATCAGAAAGACGCATCAGAAGGAAACGCTAAAGAAACCAAAAAGGATCAGACCGATGGTCGATCCAGCAGCTACTTCGACGAAGACTTGATAGCAGCTCCCAGCGAATTTATAGATAATTTAAGCGCCAATAGCACCGAAGCTGGTCAGATTATAGACGAAATCATTAGTTCTACAAGAGAGGGTAGAGCTATAGATGGTTTCGATGAAGTTTACAGCGATCCTAATGTACAAGACGCATTACAAAAGGGCGATGATAGCGAGGCTAGGAATATTATCAAGGACAGGTTGTGCGCATTGGGGTTAATGCAGGTTAGTACCAAATTATCAACAAAAACAAATACCTACACAATCAATACTTATTACCAGGAAATAATAAATTATCAAAAATGAGACGTCACTAACATTTTTGGAGATCCTGCAGGGTTCAAACCTGGACCAGCTTCTATTTTTATTATTTATACATAATATTACTAATATTACTTTACAATGATATCAGATATAGTAGTTATTTTCAATTTCGAAGCAAAACAGTTCAAAACTAGTCTAATTTTTTTCAACAATAACTATTTAAATATGAAAATTAATACTGAAGAAATAATATTGGTTATTACAGTGTGAAGATTTGGAAGGTAAGCGTCCCTATTACTCCCCAGAAGAACTCATTTACGCTCAACCAATATCTATCAATCCAGTCGGTAAACCGATTCCAACCATTCCAATAAAAGGAGTAAGAGGAATAGGAGGCTACGGTCCACCAAAACCACTTCCTTACCCCTCAACCAGACCACACCCACCAGGAAAATACCCGTCGTTACAAAATAAATACCCTTACCCAGGTTCTTCTAACTCCTTTTCACCACAAGGAAGTCATCAAATTCAACAGGGTGGTCCAAATTACTTCCAACAAGGCAAACCGCCAAGAAGACATTTTGGAGTACCTCCATCTAAACCGTTCTATGGAAAACCTTCTGGTCTTAACGGCGAAGTGTATGAGGGAGCTGAGTTTTTCGGTAGTAAACCACCTAGTTTTATACCTGGTGCTAACGAATTTTCTCAACCGTTGGAACCCGAGCCTTATAAATATGTTCAACAATCTGCAGGTCAATTTGCCCATATCAATAAGGACAAGAGGGTCGAGATCACTGTGAACGCTCAAGGAGGAACAACGGCTACTGTTGGAGGAGTAACACCAGGTAAGTTACAAAACCCAAATAATCAGACTTCTGTTGCAAATTGTCTTTTTTGCTTTGCTGTTAAGCAAATTATCAAGTTCAAAAATTCTTTATTCATTTTGAAATATATTTTTTACAACAGTATTTTATGTTCTCCAGTTGTTTTTTCCTCTTCGACCTCCATCGAAGATCTATTGGACAATTCAAATAAATTCCTGTTGTTTTTCATCATGACATTATGTGGTACTTATCTGTAATTTAGTCCCGTCTAAAAAAAGCCTTAGAAGTAAATTATCTTTATAAACAACTTAGGTCTGTCTGCATACTGTTTAGTCTTCCCTCCAATTGTATTTATTCTTTATTTACATTAACTATTTACATAAATACATCACGTTAATGATATTAAAAGGGATTATTCCTTTCTTCAATCTTCTCTGATCTTCCCAAGTGACCCTGACGATGTTATGCCTCATTATTGTGCTGTAGTTATCTCCAAACCAAATCTCTAAGTCAAATCCTTACCATTTTGACATTATTTGACTGTTATGCATTTTGTGCTCTCGCAGTAATTCATTTGTTGTATGTCTATGTCTAAAAAAAGGATGAAAAACAGGGTTATACTTGTACCTCCAATTAAATAGAACATCTTCCATCCGACTAAAGGATGTCTCCAAAATATTCAGTAGCCATCTAGAAATATCTAACCCCCCCTTTCTAATTCTTTTAGGTACTTTAGAACACGTTCATCATCATTACCACCACAACGCAGAGGGCTCTAGTAAGCCAGTAGTAATCAATCCAATCCCAATAGCATCAGCCGCAGTATCAACGTCCGATCTCTCTTCCCATTCCTTCAATTCGGCAAACGCGTTTGGCTCCTTCAAACCGTCCGCAAGCGTATCCACTTCTGTCGGACTCGGAAGCTTCGGTTCCACTAACGGGTACCATCAAGGTCAAACTCTGGGCGCTAACGGGTTCCACCAAGGTCAATCTTTGGGCGCTAACGGGTTCCAACAAGGTCAATCTTTGGGCGCTAACGGGTTCCACCAAGGTCAAACTCTGGCTACTAACGGGTACCAACAAGGTACCTACGGAGGTCAATCCATAGCCAACTACGGAGTCAAACCCGTAAACGAAGGTTATCCGGAACAGAGTTACGACAGCTTCGGTGCTTCAGTGGGTGCTTATGGTACGACCGGATTGTATAAAAAAGAATTGAATTTAAATAGTGGTAATAGTAACTATCTTCAGTCCGGTTATGCTGATAAGTACCAAGGCTTGGAGTCGGCTAGGGCTGAAAATTACGATTGCGTTTGCGTACCTTACGATCAGTGTCCCACGCACGATGTACTTGGACGTAAAGATGATTTGTACTTACCGTTGGATCCTAGAAACCTGAAAACTGATATCGAAGCTTTATCTGATGAAGAACGGGTTATCACTGACGGAAACGGTACAATGACAGTTATCAAAGTCGGTAAAAACGGTACTAGCGAAACTAATCAGGAAGTTAAGAAAATTAGCAAACGAGAAGCCCCTGTAGATGCTCCTGTGAAGGACGATACCAAACCTGAAGCTGTAAGTAACATTTATCAGTAAACTAATCCACAAAAAATGTTTTTAAAGTAGGCCTTGGAAAAATTCACGTAAAATTCTTCTTCTTTTGAAGTGTCAGTTTGCATAGATGTAATAGCCTATTTTATAAACTTTTTTGTGTATAACTTTTTACTTTAATTACACTAATTGATTAATAACTGCTTGGTATTACTTCTAAGTTGACAGATTAAAACGTCAATTTAAAATATTTAAATAATTAATGTTTAGCTGTAAATATTGCGATTTCATGCTTTTTGCTAATATATAACCGTCTGGTAGAAATCTGACACCCCATATCCATAATTAGGATATCCTTAGCAAAAACAAATCGTACTACTAAAATATTTCATTTCCTTCATTTTCTCAACTTTGAATCAAACAGTTTAAATATATTATACTCCTAGAATCCACATCAATGGAACCTTTATCCACATATCCATAAAAAAACACTACTAAAGTTTCTTTAATGAATATGTTTACAGATATTGCCTAACTCATACGGAAGGGATTCCCAGGGATCTACCACCGCCTTCTATGTGTAAATATGACTAACATTTGTAACCACACTGTCAATCTTTTGACATTTAAAATGTTGGTGCTGGAAATTGAAATCCTAACGTTATCATCATTACAGTAAGCGTAATTTTTCCAGCGCCAGTACGGATCCCTTGGAGGGAATCTGAATTTGAACATGAAGAAAATCAAACCGACTTTCGGCGTATCCTTCGGATTGCCGCAACAAGGAGGCGGTGGATATCCTGTGAATCCCTACGGACCGTCTCCGTTTTCTAATCCTTACGGCGGAGCGGTGGGCGCTTCCGGGATCAACCTAGGTTTGGTTTCGGTCAACCCCTTGGTCTCCGTGCAAGTTACTAAAGACGATTACGGGAATAAAGAGATTAAACCTTTTATAAACTTGCACGTTACTCCCAATAACTATCTGGTCAATAAGTTTGAGGACCTTTTTGCTTATAAGAAGGGGGTGATTTTTAACAAGCATAAACATTATCACGTTCATAAAGGAGATTACCCGAATTATCACGGTCATTACCCGAGTCACCAAAGTCATTACCCCAATTATCACAGTCATTATCCTCATGATGTTTATCGGGAACATCCACATGAATTCGAACATGGTCCACATTATAGCTCTCCTCCATTTTCAGGCCATTATCCATCAGAAGTTTATGATAAACCACCATTTTTACAAGGCTCGCCTCCTAATTTCGAACCCAATTATCCTTCTTATCCTCCCACTCACGACGGACATCATCCAGGTTCTTATTATGACGATTCTTTGAGCTATGGAGGAGGAGATGATTACCCACCTTCCCCTTATTATGGCAGGGCTTATCAAAATAATACGAATTTTTTTGAAGGGAACGATGTTTTACAACAATATCAGAACCAATACGATCAAGGGGTTAATTACTATGGGAAAAACCATTTTGATAACGAAAATACACGTAGTTTTCGGGGGGGAAAGAGTCTAAATATAAATTCGTTGCCTCAGTCATCTTCAAATCCTATAAAATTCCCTTCTAGTAGAAAAAGAAGGGACGTAAATAATATGAATAAGAATATCACGAAGGTAACTTTGTTTTTGTTAATAATAGTATAACTGAGACTGCAGTTTTACGTAAAGGTTGTTTTTCCAGAAGTTTTTGAGGTTATGTTCAATAGCAATGACCTTTGTTATTACTGCGATTGAGAATCTTGGTATCCTGAACACCATACAACAAGTAAAACTGCAGTACCTTCTCCTAATAGAAGAATAAATCGTTATTAAATTTTTAAAAATTTTTTCAGAGACAATTCTACGGCGGAAACGGTCCTAATGGTATCAGCGGTCGCCCGCAAACCTGCGGACCGCGCCATGTTTGCTGCAAGCGCCCTCTACGCCCGCAAGTACCAAACGTGAACAAGCAATGCGGCACAAGACATTCCCAAGGTATCAACGGTCGTATCAAGAACCCCGTGTATATAGACGGTGACAGCGAGTTCGGGGAATACCCCTGGCAGGTCGCTATTTTGAAAAAGGACTCCAAGGAGAGCGTATACGTATGCGGTGGTACTTTAATTGATCATTTACATATTTTGACTGCTGCGCATTGCGTTAAAACGTAAGTACTACCGTAAAATTTTCAAATTATGTTGTTATAGATGTTTTGAAATATAATAAAGCAAGGAAATAGCACACTTATTAATACAGTAAGGTCTAATAGCCAAATTATGACAGCACCATTCTAGAATATACGTTATTTTGTGCTTCTGTCAGTAGTCGTTGGTCTTTATCGGACGTGATATTGACAGGAATTGTCATAGTACGATGTAACGAAGATAGGACTTGTCACAGTATGATGTGACATTAATAGGAATTGTCAAAATATGCCGTGACATTGATTCGACTTGTCAGAGTATGACGTGACATTAAATAGACAATATGTTTTATTAGCTCATCACTGGTCATTTATTAATGACTTATAAACTATAAATTTATATATCATAATTGATTTGTCATTATATTATATTTCTATATTCCAGATACACCGGCTTTGACTTAAGAGCTCGTTTAGGCGAATGGGACGTTAATCATGATGTGGAATTCTATCCATACATCGAAAGGGACGTCGTTTCGGTTCAGGTACATCCAGAATTTTACGCCGGTACTCTTTACAACGATATAGCCATTCTGAGGATGGACTCACCTGTGGATTGGTCGAAATATCCGCATATTAGTCCAGCTTGTTTACCACATCCTCATGACGATTACACAGGCACACGATGCTGGACAACTGGATGGGGCAAAGATGCTTTCGGAGATTTCGGGAAGTACCAGAACATTTTAAAAGAAGTTGACGTACCCGTGATTGGAAATGACTTATGTCAAAGACAGTTGCAGAGTACTAGGCTAGGGTAAGTTCGATATCTGACTACCATAGATAGAAAACAAAAAAGTCATGGTTGTCAAAAATTTAAGTGACATTTTGCTTGACAACTCCTCTTTTCTTCTTTAAGATGGGATTTGTTTTTAAAAGTTTATTTGTTTTCCAGATATGATTTTAAATTGCATCCTGGTTTCGTGTGCGCGGGCGGTGAAGAGGGTAAAGATGCCTGCAAAGGTGACGGAGGTGGTCCAATGGTGTGCGAAAGAGGCGGTACTTGGCAGGTAGTAGGATTGGTCAGTTGGGGTATTGGATGTGGTCAAAATGGTATACCAGGGGTGTACGTCAAAGTAGGACACTACGTAGATTGGATAAGACAAGTCACGCAACGATATTAGTAATTTTAAAATGTATTGTAAGACGGTAAACGTCAAAACTGTCAATTGTTATTGAATGACGAAACGTAGGAGAGGTTTACTCTGATGAAAATGTACTGCTTGCATACTGTGACATTTTATTTATAAAGTAATTTATTCGTTTAAGTAAAATTTTATTTATAAATTAGGCTTAGTTTAACTTATTTACTGTATATATTTAAGTACAAGTTTTTGTTCACCTTTGTTACTATTTTTATGTTGTGATAATAGTAGCATAGTACTGATTTTTTATTTTTAAAATATAATAAGTTTAAACATTATTTCGTCTTTTAATAAACTTCGAAAGTGATCATGACGACCGGTGTGTAGACTTGACTTACCACTTGAAAGGTATTGTAACGATAGTCTATATTATTTATAGTTTATTTATTTAAAACACTATTTACAATTTATTTAAGACGTACTATTTAATTTATATAATACTTAGACACTAACTAACAATTCTAATTTATTTTTTACACTTTAACTTTTCATTCCAATACTCTGAACTAAACTAAACTGATCGCCGATAAGTCGGCTATTTACACCAAGCCAATTCTGTGCTTGTAGTTTCTAGACACTCCCGAAAATTCCATCTCTATGACTCAACGGCAGTTTCTAGAAGCGTCAGCGGCATACCTAGAACCTTCCGTCGTTTCTTGTATATTCGAGACGCGGTCCGACTGTCTTCACACGTCAGCGTTGCTTCGATCATGAATCGAGTAGCTGACTTCCCATGTCGCGCTTACACAGGGTAGGCTTTAGGAATTTCATGACAGTATCTTTCAACTTGATACACATGAGACAGAAAAAAAATATGGCTGCAAAGTTATCTGACGTATACCCCCTTGAAGAGTTCTTTTCAGCGAGTAAATTCTACTCATTATAAAAGTTTCAGCTCCTACAAGATTATTTAAAATTCCAGTGTCTCTCAAGGACCTTAACCTGGTCTTCTTTTTTAAATAATATTTCGCGAATTAAACTGTAAAAATGACAATAAATAAAATATAATATTTTTTATAGGATATGAAATATAAAGAGTAATCCACAAAAAAATGTTTCTAAAGTAGGTCATGACCGACAAAAAGACAGAGATGCGCGATAAATACGTGCGACTCTGAATTAAATCCGAACTGACACTTAAAAAGAAGAAAAATCGTACGCTCGAGATTCGTGAATTTTTCCAAGGCCTTCTGTCTATTCTATTTCTTTTTAGATTGTGCATAATTATAAAGTATGTCCCATTTTTATATGTAAATTAAAATGAATCAGTTTGCTATAGGTGCAAGATATCCCATTATTTTTTCTACTTTAATTCTATTGCAGAGTTACAAAATGTCCCATTTTTCTATATTTACAATGCAATAAGTTACATAATGTCAAATTTTTCTATATTTACAATGCAATAAGTTAGAGAATGTCCAATTTTTCTATATTTACAATGCAATGTGATGTCTGTTTTTTTTTTAAATTTAAAAGGTAGTGATGAATTGTTAAACCTGATTTTTTTGAAGAATGTGATTTTTATATAGGATGTCCAATACATTTTTTATATTGTGTTACAGGATGTTTTTTCTGTTATTTACAATGCAAACTTTTACAGATTATTTTAACTTTATTCAAAATGTGAGGAAATAAATATACTTTTATACAGCATGTCCCATATAAAATGAAAGGTAAGATCGTTTTATAGCATGTCGTTTTATTTTTCTACTTTAATTAAACGGTATATGGTATTTAAATTGTAAAATTTTATAGAATGTTCGGTTTTACAATTTTATTTTAAGACTATGTCCCTTTTTTTATTTTATTTAAAATGGAGCATTCTGTTATTATACAGGATGTCCCATTTATTTTTCTACTTTAATTGAATTGCAAAGTTTTAGATTGTGTTACAGGATGTCCCATATATTATATGTAGCAAGTGGTGATAAACCTATTACACGGCATGTCCCTTTTTCTATTTTAAGTAAATTGAAGCATTCGATTGTTAAATAGAAACTCCTATTGATGGTGATAAGACTGTTAGACAGCATGTCCCTTTTCTATTTTATTTAAAATGAGGCATTGGATTGTTATACAGGATGTCATATTTCTTTTTCTATTTTAATTAAACTATAAAGCTTTAGATTGTTTTACAGGATGTCCCATTTTATTTAAAAAGTGGTGATAAGACTGTTATAACTTATGTCCCTTTTCTATTTTATATCAATTAAAGCATTGGATTGTCCCATTTTTCTGTGGTATTTAAATCGCAAAATTTTATTTAAAAGATGGTGATGAGACTGTTATACAGTATGTCCCTTGTCTATATTAATTAAAGCATTGTATTGTTATAAAGGATGCCCCATTTTTCTGTATTTAAATTGCAAACTTTTATTAAAAAGTTATACAATATGTCCCTTATTCTATTTAAAATGATGCGTTAGATTGTTATACACAATGTCCTATTTATTTTTGTATCTTAATTACATTGCAAAGCATTAGATTGTATTACAGAATGCCCCATCTTATTTAAAAGGTGGTGATAAGAGAGTTATACAGTATATTCATTTTTCTATTATATATTAAATAAAGCATTGGATTGTTATATAGGATGTCCCATTTTACTATGTGAAATTTAAATTGCAAATTTTTTTAGAATATCCGTTTTTTTTCAAATTTTTTTTAAAAGGTGGCGGGTAAGACTGTTATACAGTATGTCCATTTTATATTTTTCGATTGGTATACAGGATGTCCCATCAATTTTTTTACTTTAATTAAATTAGATACCATTAAGTTCTGTTACAGGATGTTCCAATTTTCTGTGGCATAATTTAAAAATTTTATAGGATGTCTGTTTTTCTATTTTATTTAAAATGATGCATAGGATTGTTATATATACAGGATGTCCTATTTTATTTAAAAGGTGACAGTATGTCCATTTTATATTTTTCAATTGTTATATAGGATGTACCTTTTATTTTTCTATTTTAATTGAACTAGAAACCATTAGATTTTGTTACAGAATGTCCCATTTTTCTATGTGGTTTTTAAATGGAAAATTTTTGTATGATGTCCATTTTTCTATTTTATTTAAAATTATGCATAGGAATGTTATATATACAGGATGTCCTACTTTATTTAAAAGGCGATAGTATGTCCATTTTATATTTTTCGATTGTTATATAGGATGTCCCATTTATTTTTAATTGAACTAGAAACCATTAGATTTTGTTACAGAATGTTACATTTTTCTATGTGGTTTTTAAATAGCAAAATGTCCGTTTTTCTGTTTTATTTAAAATGCGGTGATAAGACTGTTATACAGTATGACCCTTTTTCTGTTTTATATAAAAAGATGCATTAGATTGTTATACCGGATGTCCTATTTATTTTTCTATTTTAATTAAACTGCAAAGCGTTAGATTGTATTACAGGATAACCCATTTTTCTGTGGTATCTAGATTGCAAAATTTTATAGAACGTTCATTTTTTTTCTATTTTATTTAAAAAGGACGGGTTGTCATACAGGATGTCCCATTTGTAGTTTATTTATAATGTCAAATTTTACAGGATGTCAATTTCAGTTACTTACACAGATTCTGCATGGAGGATTAGGTATTTATAAATAAATAAAGGCATATTTTCTTTTTTCTTTATTCATATTATCTCGCATTACATTCATCATTATACCAAAGTACCAAATACAATAAAGTTAAAAAGGTAAAACTTAACCTATAAAAACAATCATAAACAACATACCAATAAATTTCGAGGCATTTAATATTATTAAATACTTATTAAAAGGGGCACCTACACAACATTCAAATACATTTATCTTTCATCAAACTAAAATCAATAGCTTTGAAATTGATGCTGATGCATTTTTGTCATTATACATCTATTTTGTACATTAATTCTCCACCAAAGACTTCAGCAGTCAGTTATCAAAAGTCATGCAATCAAATTTGACAGCTCAAGTTTGTCAATAATGTTTTTACTTCATAATCAGCATAAGCGTTCGTCATTATTTTGTAAGCTACACAGGCTACAAAACTGTCACATTTCAACAGTCACTTGTCAAAAGTCAAGCGTATAAATTTCGACAGCTGCCTTATATGCCAAAAATTTGACATTCTTATATATTCATCTTCAGAAGATCAAGTTTAATAACACTCGCAATAAAATTAAAAACAATCTCGAATATTAATTTTAAAAACGCTAAATATATCGATAATACAACAAAACACAACATTTTGATTCACGCTGCGTAAATATAGTAAACATAATTCAACATTTTAAAACAAAACATATTAAAAACAACTATAAATTAAGCTTTGGTATCTTATCGCAATAAATACTTTTGCAGAAGCCAAACTGAGATGTGTTAGTTTTTTTTTTGTATTGCTTTCACCAAAATCCTGATGACCGGCCGCCAGGGGGATTTCTCACGCGTATGCAGGACTTCCTGTCGGTATCCAGTTCCTCTGAAACGAGATAAATTCAAAATTATACCCATCTTGCGTCAATTTAGGCATCTAAGACTCAAAATGGTGGTACCAGAGGATAGTTTTGGTGCGAAAAATAGCTGGTACAACAGCACAACTTGTCTCAACTGGAAAGCCACAGCACAACAAAGAAAAATTAAAGAGGCTGATAATGATAAGTCTGGGATAAGTAACTGATTGTTTTCTTTCCGACTTACTAGCTAAATTTAGGCAGAAGATACAGTAATAACATTAGAAATATTAAAGCTTACCAGTAAGCGAGAAAGTACTTTCTTGGATATTTCTCTGTCCCTCTGGTCGGTGACCTCTGAAAGAAGGCGTCGTTACATTTGATTCCGGTAGAGTAGGCGTCGGACAAGGGTTGTCGACGAGTTTAATCTGGAACAGAAATCAATTTTAAATTCATAAAACAGTTGTCAATAGTACAATAAGAAGAACACTACGTCATAACCATTATCAATAAATAAAGAATAAGTAGGCGACGATGGCTAACGAATGGCTCAGCCAAGTGATGACGCAGCTTTGTTCTTCTTGTTGTAATCGGACCCTGCGCATTGTTTACCTTGTGAGTTTTCTCCATTAAATCGAAATCGTTCACGTCATTGATCTTAATGGGTTTCAGACTGTCCATTTCGTCGGGATTGTAGACGAACGGAGCAAAAACTGGGGTGTCTACGAAGTGACCATAGCCTTCGACGACTCTCAATTGACCGTCGTCCAAGCAAACGCGACCGCTGACTATGACGTATTCGGCAACTCCGTGGCACGTCATACCCTGCAAATAAGGTGTTAAATCGTAAATTTAAATGGATAAATAGATGTATATGAATAATTGAATAAAATAGATGAATATAAATATACAAATTAATTGGAGATTTTCTTAGACTATGTATAATAATCAAAGTCTTTAACAAAAGAAAAAATAGACTTCTAGTGCCATCTTTAACTATTTTACGAATAAAATATAGAAAAAACGGACACTTTGCATTATATAGAAGAATGAAACAACCCGAAACACAATCTAACGCTTTCCAGTTTAATTAGAGTAGAAAAATAAATGCAACTTCCTGTATAACAATCCAATGCTTGATTTTAAATAAAATAGAAAAAGAGACGTACTGTACCACCACCTTACAAATAAAATAGGATAAAATTTTGCAATTTAATTATCGCATAGAAAAATTGGACATAATTTAACATCTTGTAGGTTAATTGAAGTCTAAAAATAAATAACAATTGAAAATAGACAATTTAAGAAGGGACTTATTGTGTAAGTCTTATCACCACCTTCTAAATATAGTAGGAAAAACACATACTCCATAAAATTATGTAATCTAAATACAACAAAAAATGGGACATCCTGTAACACAATCTAATACTTAAGTGGAAAAACATTAATGTATAACAATCTAACACTTTGCAGTTCAATTGAAGTAGAAGAATACATGGGACATCGTGTAACACAATATAATACTCTGCAGTTCAATTGAAGTAGAAATATACATGGGACATCCTGGATAACATTTTAAATGAAATAAAAAAGAGACATACTGTATAGTATTACCACCTTTTAAATAAAGTTGTAAAAAAACGGACATTCCATAAATTTTAGCATAATAAATACCATATAAAAACGGGACATCCTCTAACACAACTAACATTTTGCAGTTTTAATTAAAGTAGAAAAATAAGTGAGACACTAACACTGACAATTTTAGAATTCATTTAATAAAAAAAAATCAAAATGGGACATGCTGTATAACAATTTATCGTACCACCTTTTGAATAACGTTAGAAAAACAGACATTCCGTAAAATTTTGCAAAGTAAATAACAGAAAAACAGGATTTCCTGTAAAACAATCTAAAAACGTATTGGACATCCTATATAATTATTGAACTCTTCAAAAAAAAATGTACATAGTATAACAATTACAATTTCAATACAAAAAAAACTGACATTCTGTAACAATTTGCATTGTAAATTTAATAAAATGGGACATTCTGTAACTATTTGCAATGAAATTAAACTAGAAACATTAATGGGACTTCTTGTAAAGCAAAATAATGAATGGTTTAAACTTATATAAAAATGGGACATACTGTATAAGAATATAATGACCCATTTTATTTATTAAACAAAAAACGGTAATTCTTTGCATTTAAAATATAAAAAAATGGGACAATCTAACTCTGTTATGTAGTTAAAGTAAAAACATTAATAGGACATTCTGTATAATAATCTAGCGCTTTTCAATTAAATTGAAGTGAAAAAAAATCCTATATTCAAGGTTTATTTGATAGAAAATAAAAAAAAATGGACATACTGTATAACAGCAGTTTATTACCAATTAAATAGTTAGGAAAAACGGGCATCCTGTAAAGAAAACTGAAAAATGTTAAAGACATCCTATATATGGACATCTAGTATAATTCATCACTTTAGTTAAAAAAAAAGGTGATTCTGTAACAATTTGCGTTGTACAAATAAAATTAGACATCCTGTAACAAAATCCAACTCTAAACAATGTAATTAAAATTGAAAATTTAATGGGACATCGTGTAAAAGAATCTACCGCTTTGCAGTTTAATTCAAGTCAAAAAATAAATAAGATTAAATTAGACAGAAAAGAGAATATCACCACCGTTTGAATATAGTCAGGAAAAAGGTTCATCCTGTAACATAATCTGAAAAATTTACTGGACACACCATATTCTTCGACAGAAAAAAAATTGGACATCTAGTATAACAATCTAATATTAACTTTTAAAATAGAAAAAACGGTGTATCTGAAACAGTTTCCGTTGTAAAACCCAAAAAATGGGACATCCTGTAACATTAATCGAACGTCCTATATAAGAATCTACGGCTTTGCAGTTGAATTAAAGTTGAAAAATAAATGGGACGTACTATATAACAATCTAAGATTTTATTCGATAAGAAATAGAAAAATTGTAAATATTGTGTATCAGCAGTTTATCATCACCGTTTCAATGTAGTTAGGAAAAAGGGACACCCCATACTCGTCAACAGAAAAAAATGGACATCTAGTATAACGATTTAACATTAACTTTTAAAATAAAAAAAAAAACAGTGTTTCTGAAAGTTTCCGTTGTAAAACCCAAAAAAATGGGACATCCTGTAATACAATCCAACTCTTTGCAAGGCAATTAAAGTTGAAACATTAATCGGACGTCCTATATAAGAATCTACGGCTTTGCAGTTTAATTAAAGTTGAAAAATAAATGGGACGTCCTGTATAACAATCTAAAATTTTATTTGATAAGAAAAAGAAATTTTGTAAATATTGTGTAACAGCAGTTTATCACCACCGTTCAATGCAGTTAGGAAAAAGGGTCAACCTGCAACACAATCTGACACTCCATACTCGTCAACAGAAAAAATGCATATCTAGTATAACAATTTAACATTAACTTTTAAAATAGAAAAAAAAAAAACGGCGTTTCTGAAAGTTTCCGTCGTAAAACCCAAAAAAAAAATGGGACATCCTGTAATACAATCCAACTCTGTGCAAGACAATTAAAGTTGAAACATTAATCGGACGTCCTATAGAAGAATCTACGGCTTTGCAGTTTAATTAAAGTTGAAAAATAAATGGGACGTCCTGTATAACAATCTAAGATTTTATTTGATAATAAATAGAAAAATTGTTAATATTGTGTAACAGCAGTTTATCACCACCGTTTCAATACAGTTAGGAAAAAGGGCCAACCTGCAACACAATCTGACACGCCATACTCGTCAAACAGAAAAAAAAAATGGACATCTAGTGTAACAATTTAAAATTAAGTTTTAAAATAGAAAAAAAAACAGCGTTTCTGAAACAGTCCGCTGTAAAACTGAAAAAATGGGACATCCTGTATAACAATCAAACACTTTGCAGTTCAATTGCAGTAAAAAATAAATAGGACATCCTAGATAACAATCCGTTTCCTTTCAAATAAAATAAAAAGGGGACATACTATATAATAGTCTTATTAACATCTTTTAAATAAAGTTGTAAAAAACAGACATTCTATAAATTTTAGCAATTTAAATATCATAAAGAAAAATGGGACATTCTGTTTTAATTAGGTTTTAATTAAAGTAGAAAAATAAATGGGACACATATAAAAATCTTGGATTTCATTTAATAAAAAAATAAAAGTTGAATAACAATCGATCGAATCACCTTTTGAATAAAGTTAGAAAAGACAGACATTTCGTAAAATTTTGCAAAGTAAATAACAGGAAAAACAGGATATCCTGTAACAAAATCTAAAAACATATTGGACATCCTTTATAATAATCGCCCTCTTTAAAAAATTGAACCTATAGTATAACAATTCTTCACTATCATTTAAATTAAATAAGAAAAGGACATTCTGTATGAATTTGCATTGTAAATTTATTAAAATGGGATATTCTGTAACTCTTTGCAATGAAATTAAACTGGAAAAATTAATGGAACATACTCTATAACAAGATAATAATGACTCATTTTAAATTAAATAAAAACTGATGATTCTGTAATAATTGGCATTTAAAATATAAAAAAATTGGACAATCCAACTATTTGCTATGCTATTAAATTAGAAACATTATTAGGAGGACAACCTATATAGTGACCTAACGCTTTTCAATTTAATTAAAATGGAAAAACTAAATGGAACATCCTATATGGCAATCCAAGGTCATATTCGGAAGAAAAGAGAAAAATTAGACATACTGTATAACAGCAGTTTAACACCACCGTCTGAATACAGTTAGAAAAAAGGAACAATATGAAAAATATATTCTTAAAAAAAAATAAGACTTTGGGTTGTAAAAATAAAATGGAACATCCTGTACGACAATCCAATTCTTTGTAATGCAATTAAAGTTGAAACATTAATGGGACATCGTGTATAAGAATCTACCGCTTTGTAGTTTAATTAAAATTGAAAAATAAATGGGACGTCCTGTATAACAAATTATATTTGTTAGGAAATAGGAACATTGGAAATATTATGTAACAGTAGTTTATCACCACCGTTTGAATACAGTTAGAAAAATGAGTCATGTTGTAACAAAATTTGAAAAATTTATTGAAAAAAAAAGTATAACAATTCAATATTTTAAAATAGTAAAAACGGTGATTTTGAAACAGTTTCCGTTGTAAAACTGAAAAATGGAACACCTTGTAACACAAATGAAACTCTCTGAAATACAATTAGAAACATTAATAGGACATCCTGTATATGAATCTTATGTTTTGGAATTTAAAGTAAGAATAATAAATGAGACATCATGTATAACAATTTAAAGCTTTGTAGCACATTCTGAAAAACTTATTGGACATCATATACACTAACCGCAATTATTAAAAAAATATATATATTAATATCTAGCAATCCACAACAAGTTTCTTCATGGCCTACTTTATAGAAACATTTTTTGGGGATCATTCTTTTCTATAACCATTCATCACTATGTTTTAAGTAAAATAGGAAAAACATACACTCTGTAACACTTTACATTGTAAATATAGAAAAAATGAGACATCCTGTAACACAATCTAACTCTTTGCAATGCAATAATTAAAGCAGCCAAATTTACGGGACGTTCTGTATAGCGAACCAAAAACTAATGATTTATTTTTAGATAAAATATAAAAATGGGACATAATGTATAACTGTAAAAAAATATATAGGGAGTCGATAAATAATTCTTGCCAACATTTTTCAGAATAAAAAATGTAACGAATATGAGTAATATTAGGTAATCACAACAAATACAATAACTTTAACTCCATACATACGTTATTCATTTATGCATTGTTGCAGATTAATTTTTTTCTTTTCTTTTATATTTGAATCTGCTATTACCATCTTCTGAAGTGGCAGAAAAGAAAACAATGAATTCAGGTGGTGAATTTAGACAGATAAGAAAATAACAAACCTCGAAGATGTTGAAATCGACGGCTTGATGATGCGTTTGCGCCGATATCGTCCTGGTAGCTCCTGCGTTCCAAATGACGATATCGGCATCGGATCCAACGGCGATGCAACCTTTTCTAGGGTACAAATTGAAGATTTTGGCGGCGTTCGTACTGGTGATGGCCACAAACCGAGACGGCGATATGATTCCCGTTTGTACACCCTTCTCCCAAACGACGGACATGCGGTCCTCCAGACCGTTGACGCCGTTCGGGATTTTCGTGAAATTGTTCTTACCCATTTCCTTTTGGGCTTTGTTGAAGGTGCAGTTATCGCTGCCTATCAGTTGAAGGACGTCCCTTCGTAAGGAGATAAATGATTATAAACGTTTAAAAAGAAATATGGTTTAGTTTCATTGATTGATATATGTTACTAAATTTAATTTATTAATATTATTATGTTAAAAATTATTTATTATTTCAAAATATTTTACAATAAATCTATTATGTAATATTCAATTTTTTATTTAATTACTATAACACCGTGCAATAAAAATTTGTTACATGGTGTAATTAGTTTTCAAATATTGAATATGTCATATAAAAGCTACGGAAAAGTTATTTTGTATCAATTTAACAATATTTTCAGAATAAACAGTAGTAAAAATGACTTTAAAAAGTATAGTCAGCGAAATGAAGGTTTTGCCGAGAATAAACAAAGGTTTCCGCATTTTTGGACCATACTGTATTAATAAATCTAAAGTAATAGGTAAATTATGCATGCTTTATGTTATATAAATGATTCGGAATTAAAAAAAACCTTTACCAAATGGGAACAGTCAATCTCAAAGCAAAAACAGATCAATATATAGTGTGTTCCCGGTATGTATGAATGTAAATAAAAAAATTTTTTGATTTGGACGTAAGTCCTTGTTTTGTTTAAGAATAAGATATAACTCTTGTTTAAGAGAAAAGTGTGTAAAATATTAAATTTATTTATATAAACACAAAAGTGAAAACATATTTGTTTTCCAAAATTTGCAAGACTTAAATGGCATAATTTAATTTATGATCAAATATTGCTCAACAATATATAGATAAAATTCACACTATATATCGATATATGGCTGAACAAGGTTGAACAACATATATTTGACATTAACAATAATTTAAGCGAATGACAAATATAAGTTAGCAAGCTCCAAATATCTTCGAGCCTTCTGTGAACCTGAAATTGACTGTTAATCGCACGACAACATTACAACAACAATACAACAACAAAAAAACTGTTAATTTTCCACACTTACGATGCCAGAAAACTCATTAATTTATATGGCGTGTCAGGGTTAGATCGTATGGGTGGTGAAACAATGACGTTGAGGTTAGGTTTGAGCGATCCGGATATTCCAATAGAAGAAGCTTCCACTTCTCCAAAAGCTCTCAAACCATCGGACACGTGATCTTTCAATATCTCACAGGATTGCTCCGTTGTTAATTGAGCCAGATAAAGTGGAGCGTTCACCTACATTTTCAAATAGTGTTATGACTACAATGGATGCCAGTACATACTTGTATTAAAAACTAGTTAGTAACGACGAAATTTTGAAGTAAGTAAAAGACAGCTGACAGCTAAGTCGACTGTCATGTAATACATTTGACAGATGATTTAATTTTTTTGAGAGATTTAACAGAATTGATTTCATTTAAGTTTATAAAACCAAGTTCATAAGTTTAGTTACTTCATTCCATACCGATTCCTAAGAAGATACAGTGCTGTAAAATGTATATAACATAATAGCACTCACTGGATGACTTGCAAAGCTACTGGTGCACCATCAATCATTTATTCAAAAGAATATCGTAACATAATTGGCGCCCAACAATTTGATTTAGATTCATTTTATTCTATGAAATCAAATTCTGTTAACACTCGCAAAGTATGTATTACTAACAGCTGGCATTTAATCAAGTCAATACTTCTGGATCGATTGTTAAAATCAGTTTATAATATTCAATTAAAAAAGTTACTGTTTTAGTGCAAACATTTTCTACAGAATTACAAATCTAACTTGCTGAAAATAAATTGACATGCAACAAGTAATAGAGACAGTACAAAATTTTATGATTCAAAGCCATGCAGGAAGACCAATTAAAACATAAAAAAACCGATGAGAAAAACAGAAAAAAAACTTACTGTGCCAAATAATTCATTAAAGCGAGAGGCGTGCTAGGATCAGGCCGTAAAGGCGGACTTAAAACGTGCCCGGCCGAATGTTGGAAACATTCGTGACGATAGTGAGAACCGTCCGTACCTAAGGCTGCTGCTAAAGTTTCACCAAACACTTTCGTACTGCCGCTGTGACTGTACAAAGCCTCCGTTGCCGATTTGCTCATTACATGCACTACGTACAAAGGACAGTTCACCTACAACCATTTGGTGCAAAAAAATCAAAATAAGAGAACAAATGAAAAATAATTTTTTATTTCGGTCGTTGTCGGCTTCGCCTGTTTACGTTAAATAGATGCTGTTCGTTTCAAAAATGTGTTTATGTCAAATGTCAGTGTCAAACGTTTTAGTTTTCCGATCGGAACGTTTTGCACAATCTTATAATAGGTGAAATAGAATAAACAACGTTTTTAAGGGCAACCCACTACCGACAATTTCTCCTAAAAGCGAAGAAGTCTAATATTTACGCAGTTTTTGATGTTTGTTTGCTTGTAACGGTTAATTTTTTCAAGCCCCACGTTGGGCGCCAAAAATATAAGCCAACCCCCAACTAACTATTTAATAACTAACCCAAACCTATTCCATGCGAAATTGATTGAAATGCCCCGTTTTAATTAATTTGAATGACAAATACAATAAGTCAACATTTGGGCAATAGTGTATAATAGCTAAAAAAAATGTGTCCATGATAATAAACGTTATTTTCAGCTCTAGTGGAGGTAGAAGAGGTACAGGATAGTAAAAAATATATAAAAGAAAAGATTTTTAAAACAATAAAAAAATAGACCGTTATAAGTTTATTATAAACAATATATCAAAGTGTTTAAGTGCAATGTCAAATGTCAGTGTCAACGGTACCGCTTTTTCTCGTGGACTGATCCGATAACCGTGCAGTTTTTTGACTTATTGGGTTTTACCACATGCTGGTTCATATTACCTACTTTATTACTTAACGGCACCGTTTAGCTTGTCAGTAATATCAAAAGTCAATGTCTACGTCAAATTCTACCGAAGCGACACTTAAAAAATGTAAAATAAATGCAGAATAACGGATTTTAAACGAAACAAGCGAATTATCTGATAAAACATACTTGTTTGGCTATAACGCACGCTCTATTGACAGCTTCCGCTTCAACTTCTTCCGGTCTTGACATTTCGTGCCCTTCTGGTCCCGTAATGCCTCTCGCCAACAATCTCTGAGCGTTTTTGGCGATGATGGATCCATTTTCGGCGTGTACTTGAGCAATCGCCCCCAAATTTTGGCACTATTAAAACAGACAGCTCATTTCTAGTTCATACAATGATAATTTTCATCTACGACCGCGGAAAACAAAAACAAATCGCAGACGTAGATAAAATATTGTTTATTTATCTACCTGTTCGAAAGCGCTGTAAAGCTCGGAGTCGTTCAGCATAAAATCGTAGGCCATGAACATTTTAAACGAGTTAACACCGTGTTCTTTTGTCAAAATTTCCATGTCTCTCTTGACTTGTTCGGACCAATGGGAGAGGCAGACGTGGAAGGCGTAATCGCAGCACGCCTTGCCGTCAGCTTTTTGTCGGTATTCATAATACGCGTCCAATAGGGATTCCCCTTTTTTGGGAAATACGAAATCAACTGAAACGAAATATTCTGTATATTCAGTTCACAAAGGAAGATTTAAATCATATTGAGTTTCCTATTATTATGCAGAAAGAAGAGGACCGACAAAGTAGTGATAGTGAAGAAGAGAAGTAGAATAACTATATCACTGAAAACGAATACAAATGTATTTCTCAGTTATACAGGATTTTCGCATTAAGTGCCAACACAGAACAGGTGTATAAATTTACTCATGAGTAAGAATCTCCCTGTATACTAAAATTAACTTACTGATCATGGTGGTTCCACCTGCAATAGCCGCTTTGGTCCCGCTGTAAAAATTATCAACAGTTCTCGTACCCATAAACTCAAAATCCAAATGGGTATGTGGATCGATGCCACCTGGCAAAATGTATTTGCCCCTGGCATCGATGACTCTCGTACCGCCCGGTATGATGAGATTGTTGCCCATCTGCTTGATGATGCCATCTTCTATGTAGATGTCTTCTTCGGTCACGTCCTCCTCGTTGACGACGGTACCGTTCTTGATGAGCAGACGGTTCTGAGAGCTCTGAAAAAAATACATTTTTAAATATATTTTCGTTTTTCTATTTTATAAGTTTAACAGCCGGTTGCAACAACGTTGTTTAACATTTATGGGCCTAATAAACTTTGACAGAGCCGTGGAAACGATTGAAAAACCAGAGTAACTATTAACAATATTATTTTTTAAGAAAAACATAATTAACTTCTTGATTCTGTCACTTCTTGCCCTGTTAACCTTTCATCTGTGATTTATCTAAGATATTTGACTGTGTAAATCACAAAATATTATTAAGAAAACTGGAAAAATGGGATTTTAGAGGTATGGGGCTATGGAGTGCTTGAAATCTTATTTGTCAAACAGATGTCAAAGTGTAGTTGTTAAGAATGCTACCTCATTTTGGTGTACCTCAATTTAGTTTTCTTTATTTTTAATAGGTACCTAGTAGTTAATCTAGTTGAACTCTGTTGAATAATTAAATGAAATCAATAAACCATTTCGACGACAACACTTCTAAATTTTTACCATGATTTCCTGATTTACAGTTTTTTTTTTCGAGTTTATCTCTTATCAAAATTATTTATGCACTTGTATGTTTGAAAGCTTTGTACATAAACGGTAACTAAAACGTTTAGGTTTAGATAATGTTCATTTACCCTACTTAGTAAGTAAATACAAACAAATTAAAGATAATTATTCACACGCACACGAAGTCAGTGATCGCGTTATGTCAACAAAACGCCCGCGCGAGATATTGGAGAAACAATTTAACTAATTGAAAAAAAAAACATCTGTTGCCGAAACAAAAAATCTGATGTGTTCAACACATGAGAAATCATATATAGAATAAAAATTATAGAGAATGATATCCCAACCAACTTTTATTTGAACAATTTTCTTAAAAATTCGAATTTTATTTATTTACGGGTCAGAGCCCATTAAAACGTTACAAACAAAAACAAAAAAAAAACAAAAAAAAAAAAAACAAAAAATAAACAAACAAAAAAAATGAAAAGGTCCTCAAGCCAAGTCCCGTTGTAAGTACTGCTTTTTTTTCTCGGAGCCCCCACAAAGGCTTTGCGGAGCCCCAGGGCTCCGCGGACCACATTTTAAGTAACGCTACTCTAGAGGGTACATAAATTCCAATTTGGGATAACAAGTAGAGACAATCGGCAGATGAGTTAATAATGTTAAACAATATTTTAAGATCCCTTTGGTTTCTTCTGTTCAGAAGGGTCTCAAGATGGCAAAGTGTCTGTAAAGGTCTATACCCACTACACCGGATCATACTATGACCGTGACCGTACCGGCATAGGCAGAAAAATATTCTTTGTATAGATTTAAATGAGACAATGCCCACTAGACCGGCCCGGCATCGACCACACCATCCTCATTTGAATCTATACAAAAAAAAAATCAGGTCCGGGTACGGTCATAGTATGGTACGGTATAGTGGGCATAGACCTTAATTCGTCATAATTGTATCTGAAGTTGACCGGGACGATACCCGATTTAAATGCAACAATGCGTAAAAATTTTTTTTGAACCTGTTTTATATTATGGATTAGATATCCATAAAAAGGATTCCATACAGAAGAAGCATATTCAATATAAGGTCTAACTAAGACACAACAAAGAATCTTTAAACACATCACATTACGAAAATCAGAAGTAGTTCTTAATGCTTTATTAACTGGGGCCGTTATATGAGTTTGAAAAGAAAGGGTGGAATCTAATATCACACCCAAATCTTTAACCTCTGTAATAGTATCCAGTGTTATGTCATTGATTTTATAGATATAGGTTTTCTGTTGAAATTGATTGCATGACATTTACTTGTATTTAATTCCATTCCATTAGTACTACACCATTGGACCAAGTTACCCAAGTCTTTTGAAGACAAAAATACAATCATGTAAGGAATTTACACGCATGAATAATTTTAAATCATCAGCAACGCCAAGGAACTGAGAATTCTTAAAACAATTTTGGATGTCATTGTTATATAGATTAAAAAGTAGAGGTCCCAAATGTGACCCTTGAGGGACACCAGATGTAACGGTAAAGCCAGAGGATATGAAGCCAGAAACACGAACAATTTGAATGCGGTTTGTTATAAAGCATTCGATCCATTTCAGAAGATTACCATCAATGCCAATGTTACTAAGCTTTACGATCAAGCAACTGTGGTTAACCCTGTCGAATGCTTATCTATGACGAAAGGATCAAGCAGTTTCGATAAATACTTTGTAATAATACTATCAGAGTTTAGGAATCACACTTTGAATGCATATTGGCCTGTAATTAGTTACATTTGATTTGTCGCTTGATTTGTAAATCGGTACAGTAAAACTTGATTTCCAGTAATTAGGAAACATTCCATTATGAAGCGAAATATTAAAGATAAGATGCAGTGGACGGGATATAAAAAAACAGCAAGTTTTCAATAAGGAAGGTGGCAAGCCATCAGGACCTGATCCCTTACTCATATCTAAACTGCTTAGATGTTCAAATATTTCTGAAATAGATATTTGATAATTCGAAACATTTAAATGGGTTGAATATGGTTTAACATAATTATGGCATGGTTGATTGCTATAGACTGAGCTAAAGTAATCCTGAAACATATTAGCTAAATCTGTAACCATAGAGCATCTAGTGTTGTTATAGTACATTTCGTTGGGTAACTCATTACTTTTTTTTTTTTTGAATTAACAAAATTCCAAATAGTTTTAATATCATTACCAACAGATGATTCAGTAGGTCTAATGTAATCATTGTAATCCTGTTTACATTGAGAGCGCAAGTTAGAGAATACCATGTAGTCGTTAGAAGATCCACTAAATTTAAATCTAAGGTGTGCCTCCTTCTTTAGAATTGATATTTTTCAATTCAGGTGAAAACCATCTGGGAAATCGTCGAGTGGATAATTTTTTCAATGGTACAAAGGAATGAATGACAGAATACACAAAATCGTAAAAAAATATTTACCATTTCATCAAGTGATTTATTTAAGAATAGTGAATCCCACTGAATTAATCCCAGATGATGTTCAATGGATCCAAAATCTGCGAATTTGCAATCATAGTAATACTCATAAGCTACATGTGACAAGTTACAATAATTTACAGCAGGGTTCAAGTGTGTAAGTAACAAGGCATGATATTTATCGACATTAATTAGAGCATCACTAGCGCAAGAGGTGGTTGTTGAAGATTGATAAGAAAAAACTAAATCTAAAGTAGTATTGTAATCATTCCGAACTGCATTGTTCTGAAAAAAGTTGTGAAAAGCACACATATTAATCGCAGCAGTTTCATCAGCTCTAGTTCCAGGTCCCAAGGAAGAGGTAGCAGTTGAGCATAGATTATTTGAGATCCATATGGCCTTAGGTAAATTGAAGTCGCCCAAAATGCAAAATTGTGCATGAGGATATGTTTCTGACAAATTATCCAAGTTTTCAGTGAACGAAACATATTTATCATTTGGTGACATTGGAGGAAAGTAAGCAACTCCTAAAATAAGGGTACTTTTACCATTGCCTATGAGGACAAATAACTGTTCAATTTCTTGTGAAGAGTTGAGCAAACTACTTCGTATAGATTTGGAAATTGCTATAAAAACTTTCTTTCAGGTAAGTTAAACAACATCAGATTGTTGGATTTTCTCCGTCGTTCTTTCAGTTCAGTAAGCATTAATTCATCAGATACATGAGGTGAGGAGCTATTGCTAGTTGTGATTTGGATATTTTGTATCTAAATCGTCTATTAATTTAATTAATTGATTTTGATTTATTGAGTTTGATGAATCAGTTTCTATTAGGGAGGTAGTAGTTGTTGTTGTTGTTGTTGAATTACTGTCACAAAGTTTATTACGAAAATTCTTTAATTATGTAGAGTAGATTGTGTTTTCATTCTCCAAAGTTTTTATGGAACATTTATTTATTGATAGTAGAAAACTCATCCATGTCCTTCATCAGTTTTTTGTATGATTCAGAAGAATTTACTAACTGATTTTGCAAAGTATCACAGTTTTTTCTTAGTACGATTAGGTCATTATTTAACTCGACATTTGTTCAATAAGTCAATTTTGCACCTTTTATCAAAATTCTCGAATACGGATTATATTAGGAAAATGTTGTATAAGACAAAAATTATAGAGAATAACATTACAAGCAACTTTTATCGTGATTTCTATACTTTCCTTCTCTGTATAAAGAAAGAAAAGTAAAAATAACCTTCACAGTAATTTTTTAGGCAACTTATTTGCGGTATATTTATTAACAACTTTATTTAATAAAAAAATCACCTTTTATCCGGTTAACAGATGGGCGAAGCTCGTCCTTAATTCGTATCCTGTACTATCACGGATTAACTGTTCGTGAGGGCAGAGGGAATTTTAATAGAAAAAATCGGAGATTTACTTAAATATCCCGATAACTTGATAACAAAACAAATGTCTAAAAAGGGATAACTCACTTCATAAGTGACAATACAAAATTTAGTCCATATGCGACACCTACCTCAACAAAAACACCAGTAAAGTGAAAATAAATATTTTTTGAACGATTGTATGAAACTAGAAACTACCAACCTCATTATCCATTTTTACTTTCTTGAGTTGATAACACAAAAACTGATATTCTTACACACTAAAAATGTATCTAACACTAAAAACAAACCGATGTGGACGTAATTTATAAATAAATTGATCGAATAACGTAAGAAAATATATACTTATCACTATGCCACTATCAGAATGCTGATTCCTACTTTATAAATTTAACCAGTACAAAGTACCTTCTTTTTGACATGGCAAATAAGAAAACACTGATTCTGTCTTGATTTATTGAAATATTTACATTTACAATCTTTAAGTAACACTCATGTCATATCATAAACACCATTTAACACTATAGTCAAAATAAATTAATAAACAGACAGTAAATGTCAATAAAAGCACTTAATTTCATTAAAACAAATTAAAAAAAATTGAGATTAAATGTATCATTGTTTGTTTAGATTGTTTTGTATCTCAATACATAATCGTTTGTGTAAATAATGGGCAATTATTAGATTGCCGCTATAAGAAATTAAATTATTTAATCAGTTATTTAAACCTTAATAAATTGAACAGATGCCATTTCTCATGAAATATGAATGATCTAAAAAGGACTGGAACTTTTATGAGTTAAAGAAAAAATACTTACCTTTCTTATTGATTGTTAACTAGTCTATCTAGCTACTCATAATTTATTTATCAGGATAGCTATTCACTAAGTCATGGGAGCGCTCCCATGGGAGTGCTCCCATATATTTTGCTCTCTTACTCTTAGGTGGGTATATCGTGCTTACTCACTTTTAGCCCAGGTACATGCGTAGTAAGGTCAGATTTTATACTATGGGAGGGAGAATTGCGGGCTTGCCAGATTAGGTCCGTATTTATCACAAAGCAAATTTGAATTACTAAGGGCTGATTCCACCGTTGAGTTAAACGGAGATTAAAATGACATTGTTAATGTAAAAATGTCATTTTAAACTTCGTTTAACACAACGGTGGATCGGTCCTTAAATAGTAGATCAAAGTTATTCTGTCGACTTGGCAACGTTGGCATGGGAGTATGGGAGCATGGGAGTGTGGGAGTGCTCCCATGAGTTAGAGAATAGGTATCCAGTGGTTTCATTTGATTATGTACGAGGGAAACTTGAAAAGTTTGTCATTAATAATGAAACAATACGATTTTATTGTTCAACATAATCTACGCGATATACATTCTGCGTTATGAGTTGTGCTATTGAAATTTGTTAGTAGCTATATAACTACCCCTGTACCCCTCTAAGGGGTTGAAGAAATATTAAACACATTTCAAATTGTAACAATACATTCATTATAAAGGTGAAAATATTTGAATTAAACAAAGCAGGATCCAATTAAATATTTATAAACAATAAGTAACTAGAGTAATCTGAAGTTTAGTTAACTATTTCATGCATGAGAAAGAAAATGAATGGATAATAGAGACCTTATAAATTAATAAGATTTCGCGGAAGAGCCCAGATAACATGAAATAGAAGTAAGTTTATATTTTGAGTATAATTGAAGAGTGGAAATGCCACAGAATCTAAGTGCCAGAAGATTCAAAATACATTTTTATACATATTTGGACTCTATGTGTCAAGGCGAAGGCCAATAGCCAAAATTATTTGTTGTGCAATTTCTGATTTTAATTTTTTAAACCAAAGATTGTTATCGTACCTAAATAGTAATGCAATGTTTGTGATATAGTAACTTTCTTATAGAGTCATTTGTAAGATATCCGGGAGCGCCATAGTAAATAATAACAGTAGCCATTCTTGCTTCGCATAAGCTCTGCTTGTATGAGGGTGTATTATTTTTGTATTCCATCTCTTTGATATATTTTTCTTGGGAATTTTTAGTAAATATAATTATATAAAACTATGTATATTTATTTTATCCCTCATAATTATTTGTTATAGAATTTTACATTTTTATTGGCATTTCATAATTGTTACCAACAGCTAATAAAAAAGCAAAATTTTAAATATAATTAAGAGGAAAATTTACTTAAACAATTATCTTTTTCTAAACAATACGAAATAAAGCCATAATTATTTCTATAGCTTAATTTTACTTTTTAGTGAATAAAAAATAATATGTACTTTTAGGTAAAAGTAAAATATCCGTTTTTCTGGATCCACTATTCCAAAATTTGATTTATTTTCTCAATTTTTGAAATTATGCTTCATTATTGGTCTTGCAGTTATAAAATCAACGTCTTCTAACCTCTAATTATGAAGACAAGAATTAAATAGTATAAGAAAAAAAGTAAAAGAAAATAAAAGAAAAAGTATGAAACCAGAAAAGGGACCCTTAAAGCAGCAAAAAAGCAACCAAGAAACGAGATAAACATTATTAATTTTGTAACTAAAAAATAAACTAGGTTGTGTTTTTATATACAGAGCAAAAAATACTTTGCAGGCATTTATAAGATAAAAATAAAAATAAAATTTATTGACCTTATCTAATAAATATTTAGATAAGGACGTTTTTTAGTTTAACTATAAATCATTATTTTCATTTTAGGTAGTTTGTAAATGTCGTTACAAATGCTCAACTTTAGACAGCGAAAGTAAGATTAAAATATTTTTAAATTTTTATAAGCTTTCCGAGAAGGAACAAGGAAACTATTTAATGGTTTGATCCAGTTGTCGCACATACAACGACAGCGCCATGGTCAATACGATAATCAAAGAGAAAGCAGAAGGCAAACCACTGTTTTTTTATCAGGTTTCAAATCAAGAAAACATACTGATCCAGGTATTCAACAAGACGTTTTTGGATATTTTTTGTATCTCTGGAAAAAGGTACAAAATATAGTAGAACAAAAGAAGGGTGGAAATATAGGTTATGCAGATGGAAGGCTGAATTACAGATCTGTACAAGATCATATAAATTATTTTCCAAGGGATGAAAGTCATTATGGAAGGGTCAAATCGAGCAAACAATACCTCAATTCTGAAGTAAATGTCGAATATATATATGGCGTACAAAGATAAATATCCAGACACAAAAATCATCATTTAAAAATATATTTTTTTGAATATGTATTATTGAGTATTATTTCGGTACAAAATATTTTTTGAGTTATTTGTAATTGTTATGTAAATGGTAGAGTTATCTGTTTGAGTAAATTAACAAGTATATAACAATTATTTTTCAAGACCTATAAATTTGTTTAATAGGTATACCTATACTAAATTGTTTAAATCGTTATTCATTATTGACTTCTTGGAAATTTTTAATGTCAAGGTGAAAGTTAATGACAAGTGGAGAGATAGGTTTCAGCTTAGATAATAGAAAGCAATCCAGGAGTTTAAAATCTATAAATGCGACTATAATTGTATAAAAATGTAAATGGGATAAATCCTTAGATTATAGATATATATGGCGTACAAAGATAAATATCCAGACACAAAAATTTCGTGCAAATACTACAGAAAAGATTTTCTTAACTTGTCCTTCCATCCATCTCGGACAGATACTTGTAAAGAAAGTGATTCTTTAGCCTGCTTAATAAAAGCAAAAAATTAAGAAAGCAGAGGTAAAGTTGACGTTGCACCACAAAAAGTACCAAACTGCCATAGCTAATATGTCTTAAGATATCAAAGATTGTAGCGACCCATTGTCAGAATATTTAGTAGTGTTCATTGAGATGATTGACATGCAACAAGCTATGTTTGTGCCAGCCTTAACGCACAGTGATGTTTTGCAAGAGACAGCTTCCTCTCCTGTTATAACTTTGGATGCCAACTCAGTCATTTCAACCAAGTGTAGATGTGCGTGTGGCATAAATGTGTTGGCGGAAGATAAGGCGATGAAGTAACGCCTTGTTTGCTGCATCTCTTGAACAAAGCTGAAATAGTCTACAAAAGGAAGCTCATTATATGGTCGGATAACTGCGCAGCGCAGAACAAAAATAGAATGATGATATTTTTAATGTTATTCCTGGTAGCACATGGAAATTTTGATGAGGTGATACAGAAATTTTTAATGAGCGGTCATAGTTTTTAAGCTGTAATCGAGATTTCGCAGCTATTTATTGAGAAACGAAAG